GGTCCAGTTTCATTCTTCTGCATGTGGCTATCCAATTTTCCCAACACCATTTGTTGAAGAGACTGTCTTTGTTCCATTGGACATTCTTTCCTGCTTTGTTGAAGATTAGTTGACCGTGACAGTACCATATTGTTTTGCATACTATAGTTTTATAGTGTATCTTAGAATCTGGGCTTGTGATATCTCCAACTTTGTTCTTTTCTCTCAAGGTTGCTTTGGCTATTCGAGGTCTTTTGTGGCTCCATACAAATTTTAGGATAATTTTGCTAGCTCTACGAATTATGCTATTTGTGTTTTGATAGGGATAGTATTGAATGTGTAGATTGCTGAGGGTAGTATGGACATTTTAATAGTATTAACTCTTCGAATACATGAGCATGGTGTATTTTTCCATTTGTTTATTTTGTCTTCAGTTGCTTTCACCAGTGTTTGAGAGTTCAGAATAGAGGTCTTTTACCTCCTTAGTTAAATTTTTTCCTGTGTTTTATTCTTTTTGGTAAAATTGTAAATGGAGTTGTTTTCTTCTTTTTCTGCTACTTTATTGTTAGTGTATAGAAATACAACAGGTTTCTATGTATTAATTTTGTATCCTGTAACATCACTGGATTCATTTATTCTAATAACTTTTTGGTGGAGTCTTTAGGCTTTTCTGTGTATCGTAAGTATCATGTCATGTGCAAATAGTGGAAGTTTTATTTCTTTATTATAAATTTCAGTGCCTTTTACTTCTTGTCTGATTGCTGTGGCTAGGACTTCCTGTACTATGTTGAATAAAAGTGGTGAGAGTGGACATCCTTGTCTTGTTCCTGATGTTAGAGGTAAAGCTTTTATTTTTTTTACTTTCGAGCATGATGTTAGCTGTGAGTTTTTCATATATGGCCTTTGTTATGTTGAGTTTACATTCCCTCTATAATGACTTTGTTGAGTGTTTTTATTATGAATGGATGTTGAATTGTGTCAAATACTTTTTCTACATCTAGTGGTATGACCATATTGTTTTTATCTTTTATCTTGTTACTGTGTTGTATCACTTTGATTTGTTAATATTGAACCACCTTTGCATCCTTGAAATAAATCCTACTTGATTGTAGTGAATGATTTTTCTAAAGTACTGTTGAATTTGGTTTCCTAATATTTTGTTGAGGACTTTTGCACCTATATTCATCAGGGATGTTGTCCTGTAATTTTTTTTTTTTTTTTTGGTGTCTTTGTCTGCTTTTGGTATCAGAATAATGCTATCCTCATAGAATGAATTTGGGAATGTTCTTTCCCCTGGTACTTTCTGAAATAGTTTGAGGAGAGGTATTCTTTTTTTTTTTTATGTTATGTTAATCACCACACATTACATCATTAGTTTTTGATGTAGTGTTCCAGGATTCATTGTTTGCATATAACACCCAGTGCTCCATGCAGAATGTGCCCTCTTTAATCCCATCACCAGGCTAACCCATCCTCCCACCCCTTCCCCTCTAGAACCCTCAGTTTGTTTTTCAGTGTCCATAGTCTCTCATGGTTCATCTCCCCCTCCGATTTCCCCCCCTTCATTCTTCCCCTCCTGCTATCTTCTTCTTCTTCTTTTTTTTTTTAACATATAATGTATTATTTGCTTCAGAGGTACAGATCTGTGATTCAACAGTCTTGCACACTTCACAGCTCTCACCATAGCACATACCCTCC